AGAAAAGAAACTAAGTATCTAAGAAATGCCTTCCTTTCTCTCTACCTTCCCCAGCTTGATCGCCCACGTTGAAAAGCGTACGATTTCGTTGTTTATTACAATACGCTAGTTGGTTTGAATGTCGCTCCTAATTTGCCTATCGATTATACATATTTCTGGGGCTACGTTCGCGTGGTCACGCAACAATACATTACATAAACATCTAGAAAGTAGGTAAGCGGGCCCCTTAGAGTCAGGAAGACGCCGCCCGAACAAAGTTTATGACTTTATGACTCCCGGCCTTTCTCGACCTGAGTTTTACCCTTGCAGGACACCGATAATTTTTGGAAGTGAGGACAGAATTAAAAATGATTTTATAAGACGAGCCCCTGCCCGTTCGACGAAATTTGGCACGCAGATGTGAAAGAAAAAGTTAAGCTATTTACTATCCTTGCCTGGCCCAACTGTAGTATGGAAAGTTTGAATACAATCCCAGGCCCTCGTAACTCTCTGCGTTTAGGTGTCGCTTAAAACCTTCCAGCTGTGCTGTTCGCTACGAACTCGCATGCTTACAATAAATCTCCCCGTTACAATGGAATTCGAATTTCGCTCTCACATCAAACCTTGATATCCCTATGTCTTAGAGCTAACTTCACATAATACACAGATTCATACCAGCGGAGGTCGCAACATTACGTCCCGAGATAGCGGTTTAGGGAGAAAGGACGGTGGGTTGGTGCCCGTGGAGCGCTGAACCGCTCTGCTCGGCGAGGCGCGCAAAAATCAAACTACTATTGATTGCTCGAAAAAGATTGGTAAAAGTTTATTCGTCTTAAGCTTGATTTTAGATACAATTCTGTTGACTCTCAAAATCGATCTGTCGCTCCGCGGAAATCTTCTCGTCGTCCTCGGTGTTCATCCCTTCTCCGGAATATTCCTTGATCCTCCCTCTGGATTGTCCTGGTCCAATCGGGGTTCGTGCCTTGCTCCCTCCATCCGGATCGTCTTCGATCGATGATCCACCCCCGAGCCGAGTGGAGGTGGAGGTTTCGCGGCCATGTTGGAGCGGCGCGCGTGAGAGAGAGCGTGGGAGTCGAGAGAGAAAATGAGGCTAGCGGCCTAAACAACCCTTAAGAAAATTTATGACCCTTGTGAGAGTAAACGAAACTCGAAGCGAAGTGTCGCGAGGCCCTGCTGCGTGTCAAGACCATTGAAACTCTTATCGGAAATAGCTAATCGGTCACGGTCCGTAATAACTAAACAATAAACTAAAGGAACGATGGAACCTCGAAATCGACGCGGCCTTTAGAAAATAAACTAAGTATCTGAAAAGAAGTGCCTTCCTTTCTCTCTACCTTCCCCAGCTTGATCGCCCACGTTGAAAAACATACAATCGTATAGTTTATTACAATACGCTGGTCCGTTTGGATTTCGCTCTTAACTAAAATGCAGTTACATGACTCTGCACTCGACGGTGAATAATCGGGTTTCAATTCATTCCCGTTGTGGCGCTATGTGCATTAAACCTACGTCAGAGATGCCAGAAAAGCACCGTCGGGTGCACACGCACACATGCCAGATACGCGTACGTGAGCTCGTGGAGTTTCGGAAAGTCGACAAAGGCAAACTGACGCATGCCCTCTTTCTCGATTCTCCGAAGCTGCCCGAAGTAATTTCGGATCGCCTCGTGGGAGTCGAGAGAGAAAGGCTCACATTTGCCTTCTCGCTCTAAACAACTGAAATCCGACCTCCCGTCAACGGCATACGATTTGGATTCTCGAGCCGAGATTCTCGAGTGCCCAGGCATTTTTACTTCCCGACCTATGTAGGCGCACATAAGCAAAGTACCCATAATGAAAAAAAAATTTTGTAAAATTTATTTTACGGAAATACACGTTTTAAGACCTCCTGATCATATTTTAATTATTGAAAAAAAAGAAATTTTTTTTATTCCCATGTATGAGCACACATATGTATATTATTAATACGATTGAATATAAATAGCTGAATGAATTTAAATGAAACTTTACATTTAAGTTTTATGTTCTCATTTCAAAGGCGTGTGGACGGATTCAAATACGTGAACACTAAACGTAACGATGTAATTATATTATTTAATATTTACTAACTATTTAACATAAAGAACATAAAAGAAAGACATAAAACGTAAACGTAAAAGATCATAAACGTAAAACTGTGATTGCTCTCGACTAACGTTCGATACAGAGTGACGTTCCTGCAGTCAAAGTCGACCCTTCCTTATTCCTATCTTATAATAATGATCTAAACAAAACGCACGTTCGAGACGCAGTCTCTAAAACGTATTTCAGCTTAAACCTAAACACCTCACTCGATACCTACTCTAGCTTAGACTAAACACTCCTATCGACGCAAACGATAACGGTTCTCCTAGCCACACACATACACTCCTTACAGATTATACGTCTTGTTTCATAGTTGTTCCGATATATAGGCATAATTTATAAAAAATCTTTTAAATGTTTCATATAAATCTTAGGACGAATTAAATTTTATATTGTGGCATCGAATCGCGCGCCAGCCGCGAAAAGACGCGCGACTAGGTGTGCATGAGTGTGTGTATGTCTGGGCGAATCGAAAAGTGCGAAAGATGGAATGTTTGTAAACGATTATATGATTGGTGAGGATGAGGGCAGAGAGCACGGCAGAGCGAGTGTGAGAGAGATAATGGATGAGAGGAACGGTGAGCGATTGGAAGAAGTGTGCCAAAGTTTGAACGACAGCGAAAGCAAGCGATAGCGAGTACAGAATTTGTTAATAAAGAGATTAAATTAAAAACGCCCGTGGTCTTTAAACTCTCGGTCCCCGGGATTCCGACAATATAAAAAAAATTATATAAACTTTTTCTCTATCTTCACTAGAAAAGAAAACATTAAATGAAATCTTATACATTACATGCTTACTTAAATCGCATTGAAAACGAATACCACAAATGTTTTAGAATAATGTGCAAAATGTGATTGCGACTTTCGCTAAGACAAATTGAAAACTCGTTTCTAAGAAGGAAAAGTTGGAATGGTACCAGGTTTTGAGTTAGGTTTTACTTTGAGATATTATTAAAGTTATTACAGATACTTATTTTCAGAAATAGAACTATGTTCACCACTAATCAGCGTGGCGTGAGTGATGAGGTCTTTGCCTGCAAGTTCCGAACTTGTTCTGCTCTGCTGGTTCGAATCCTGCTTGAACTTTTTTTTTTTATTTTTTCAATCATACTTTAATCGTACACTAAATATGACATTATATTTTTGTCTGACCTTCGAATATTTTTTTTTAAAGTTAAATTTAACCGATTACATTTAACATATGTTATTTTCAATGTACGAAGTACATGAATCTGGATGGTACTTTTCACAAAAACAGTCAAAACATAAAAATTTCAAACACCACGTACATTTACTGAAAGTTTTGTTTTCACAGAAATAACAAAATTTTGTATTTAACTCTGATGGAAAGACCGCTTCATTTACATTGATAAAATGTGAACGATTTTCGGATAGTCGTACCTTGTAGCTCGTACTTTTTACCTTATACTTCAGGTAAAAAGGGATATAGCTGGGAAAAACAGTTTTATGACATACCTGCTAACTTATGTTACTGTTCTACAATGAAACGCTATGTTTTGTACCTTTAAAAATATTCGACTATGTCCTTTTAAAATTTAAGATACAACCCATACTTTGTATTAAACTGGCAAACGGGATCACTTTTCCTTTGTTTCTAGTTAGTTCTATTTAGTTCGTCATAACAAATTGATACGGTTATCTCAAAACAATCGAGGAAAATCATTATTAATTAATTTCTGCAATTATTAATTCTACTGTTTTGTTTGTTATAAAAGTAAGTACTCTTCTTATTGAAAAATACCACAGCGTGCTCAATACTGGTAAAGAGTGGAATCTCATTTTAATTTATTAATTTTCAATCTTAAAGTATTTTGATTTTCAAAAATCGTATTAATAATATACATATGTGTGCTCATACATGGGAATAAAAAAAATTTCTTTTTTTTCAATAATTAAAATATGATCAGGAGGTCTTAAAACGTGTATTTCCGTAAAATAAATTTTACAAAATTTTTTTTCATTATGGGTACTTTGCTTATGTGCGCCTACATAGGTCGGAAAGTAAAAATGCCTGGGCAGTCGAGAATCTCGGCTCGAGAATCCAAATCGTATGCCGTTGACGGGAGGTCGGATTTCAGTTGTTTAGAGCGAGAAGGCAAATGTGAGCCTTTCTCTCTCGACTCCCACGAGGCGATCCGAAATTACTTCGGGCAGCTTCGGAGAATCGAGAAAGAGGGCATGCGTCAGTTTGCCTTTGTCGACTTTCCGAAACTCCACGAGCTCACGTACGCGTATCTGGCATGTGTGCGTGTGCACCCGACGGTGCTTTTCTGGCATCTCTGCATGGAGGTAAATATTTCAAAAATTTGTATTCATTTGATTACCGACAATTCTTTTCATGCATTCTATGGTTTAGATGGAAATACTCGCCAAGAAGTATCAGCAAAGTTATTATGAGTATGTCCCGGATTGGTTAGAATATAACAGTGACGAATACGATTACATAAAACAAAATATTGGCTTTGCTTTCTTCGGCCTTCCAGAAACCAACAAAGATGAGGTTAAGATTAACCAAAATAAGACATGCATTGGAACAATGTATGACAAGGAGTCGTGTGAAAGAATCACAGCTATATACAATAAGATAATCAAATATGGCAGGGAAACCAATCTAAGTCAGGGTACTATCTACATTGGGATAATATACAACACGATATTTCAATATACAGCATTAAATGAATCAAAAGGGGAAAAGTTTCGTGAAATGTACACGATACCAGTGTTTAAAATAAAAAGAATGAATAGTGTATGGTACATCGATAACAATGCCAGGATATACAAAAACTGGAAGGATTATTTAACGAACAACACATTGCCCAAATGTGTTATGGTTGTACCAAAAGATGGAATTTATCAGTGATCCAAACTGCGAGGTAACAGAACAATCTTCAGTCGTGTGGACAGAAACATTGAACTCACCTGCCTGTTCAAGAAAGAATATTGTTTTCAATGCTTTCGATACTGCTTCTACTGTATTGAGCCTTGGAACAACTATTGGACTGGGTATCACTTCTTTTTTCACTCCGGTTGGGCCTGCGTTGGTTGGGGCAGGTATGGGTCTATCTTTTCTGCATTAAAAATAATTTAAATCTTTGGTACTTAATCACTTTTCTTTTACGGATCACTTTTTTGTTTGTTTTTTAAAGTTCTATACAGGTTTTGAATCTATATTGTGTAAATATTTGCTGCTCTCCATGATCAGGCGATACGTTGATTATTTTTTTAAGTTAATTTAAAATTTAAATTAAAATGTAAAGTTAACTTTGAATTTTAATTTAAGCTTATATAATCGGAAATTTAATTTTTTCGTAACAGTTTCGAAGATAAAAGTTTAGAATTTTTATATAACAATTTGAAACAATAATTTTTAATATTTTTACAAGTCCCAATTTTAATCAACAGGAATAATCACTGCTGGCGTGAGCGGAGCCTGGACTATCACCAGAAGTTCGCAGAAGTTACTAGATCGGGGTTTGCATGAAGAATCCGTTAATACAATGGACAAGAACACAATTTCTGCATGGCTCGGAATAACTGGCACAGCTCTAACATTAGGAGCAAGCGGTGGAACGATGCTTCTCTCAAAAGCCATCGAAAAAGGCAATCGCATAAACACAGCAACCAAAGCAGTATATAATTCCATGATACTAGGCAATCTAGCAATAAATGGAATTGGTGTAATCTATCAAGGCTGTTGTGTAATCAACAAATACCAAGAGAAAAGACAAGTCGTTATGTTCGACATAATTATCTTCAGCTCCCACGTTTTGTTCTTCAGCAACTCTGTTTTAAATGCTAAACTAGCTAATGACCTTGTTACATCGTCCAACGGGACCATTCTAGATAAATTTAAAAACACTTTACGTTTCACACGGTTCCGTAAAGAGTTTAATAGAATAAAAGGAGTAAATGGGAACAGAATATTAAAAGATCTAATGTATCAAGTGAAACATGTCACTAGCAAAGAAGATTTTCTCAGTATATTTCAGAGGTTCGAATCAACCTTTAGAAATAACAAAATAGTCGTAAATGGTATAGAATTGATAGATCCAATTGCGGTTGCTAGACATTTACTAGTGATCGGTAGGTTTGGACTGAATTTCATAAATTGTAATTTGTCGTTAGAGCTCAAAAACAGAATAGTGTCATTGAAAAGTGTCTTATTGGATCTGTTAAAGAATTGCTATTCGAAACGATTTATTGCACAGAAAGATTCGAATGATGTGAATTGTTTCAACAATACATTGGAAGAAATATCCCCTATGGAGAACGGGACGGACATTTTGAAAATGATTATCAAAATAGGTGTGACTGTGTTAGAACATTCTAACGAATCAGAAATATTTTTGCATGATGTTGTTTATTTTATTTGGGAATACTCTAAAGCAAATCTACACAACTATGTAATAAACGCATGTTCTCCCTTCAAAAACAGTAGCAATTTGTATAACGCGTTGACTAAAATTGTCACGTCTATATTTAACATTATCGATGATATAAATCAAGAGCTTTACTTCGCTTTTAAAGAGTACACATTAAGTATAGGACATTGAGTTATTGTTCATTATAGAATAATTGTAAGCCTTTAGCGTACGTTAAAAAGACTGAATTAGTATGTATAAATAAAATATCTTTTCATTATGAACAAATCTTTTACGTGTTTCATGAAAACAGGTTATATACAGAGTATTTCGCATTTTTCCGTATACACTTCAGCAGTGTGTTTTACAAGTAAAACTAAGACTAAAATGTTATATAACAACAAATCCATAAATGCTTTGTTAAGAAGTTATAACAAAAATATGAACTATGAAACTCGGTTAAGATTCAGGACATTAAAATAAGAAAAAAAATTTATAATAAAATAAAATCAATCTTTTGCAAGCATTCGATATCGTGAGTTTCTTTGCAATTTACTAAAGATAAACTTGAACAATAGTTCAAAATTTTATGACAACAAAAAGTTATCATCAAAGAAAGAATTTTTCAGCACCCAAGATAAATGATAGAAACTAAACTCTGATAAAGAAATGTTTAAGTTATCCACATAATATGTAAAAATATTTGTTCGTGCCTCAATTAGCAGTTGCTCTCTTTGAACAAAATTTTAGTAAATTTCTTTGTTTAATAAATAAAAAAACATAACATTTCATATTTTTGTCATAACTTCTTAGCAAAGCATTTATGAATTTTTTGTTATATATATATATTTTTTTTTAGTCTTATTTTTACAGTACTGAATTTTTTTCTCGAAAATGCGCAGGATTTCGGGGGTATGTATATTCACTAAAAATGATTGTAATTGATCTCCGCAACCAAAAATAATTTTATTAAAACGATTTGAAATTTTTGAATTTAATTGTTAATAACTTTTTAACGAAGCCTCCATCAACAAATTGGTATTCTTGATTTCCGTCTTATTTTGGTCTCTAGAATTTCCCATTCAAAGTTTTCCCAAAGGTGGCTGAACATCCTGTATATTAAATAAAGGGTATAGTCAAATAAGGGGGTCAAATGTGCCTCCAAACCGAATTGAAAGAACGACGGGCCATTCGATAGCTTATCCAAAAAAACCCTGTGTACAAATTTTTAACTTCAAATCTCAACCGTGGTGGTAGTAATAGGGTGAAGACGAAAATCATGTTTTTGTACAATTTCTCTTGACCTATTGAGTAAAAAAAAGTAAACAAAATTTAGAGACATTTCGGGTACCGGGGCCTATATTTTGGGAGATTTTCAGATTTTTTGATTGAAGAACCAGGTAGTAAAAAATGAAGGTCCGGAACTACTTTTATACTTTTACAGTAAACAAGTATTGTTATTACTATTATTCTCAACTTTCTCAGATTTTTCATTTTGGTGCGCCGCAGTGAAAAATACAAAACCCGATTATTCCTCATTTTCTGCGTATTAGAGTAACTTACACGTTGAATTTTTATGCATTCTTCAATATATGAGTGTTTGGTAGACTGTCTAATGTTTCTACACTAAGCAGAATTACATAACAATTGAAACAAATAAAATAAAGGCAACCGTTGAGCGGAATATACAGGGTGTCCCGTAAATAGTGTAAGAACCGGAAATGTGGGGTAGCTGAGACGGTTCTGAACAATTCCCTTTGCAGAAATGTCGGATGGGGCTTCGTTTTTGAATTATTAACGAAAAACACTGACCAATCATAGTGCACACGCTCAGGGCCGTCCGAACTTGAAGAGCTACCGCGCCTTGTAGGTACCAAGATGCGCGTTGAAGATACATCGAGGAACGAATACAAATAATTAAAAATACTACCACTGGAACTGTTACCTAATTCGTTAATTACTACGTAATTAGTACGTAAATTACTAAATCGAATTTATTAATTATTTGTATTCGCTGTTTCCGAGGAAGAAGGAATAAAATCTCGGAATTTTTAGGAAATTAACCCTTCGCACCCGAGTGACGCTTCTCGTCAGAGTGTTTTAAAATTAAAATAAATATGGTAAGAACCATTTGTAACCGTTTGTTATTAAAAACTGTACTGAAAAAGCAGACTGAATTTCTGTGTCACTCGCAACGTTACTAACAGATTTAGAAATTAACACAAGAGGAAGTGAGACAGAAAATGAAATTACAGAAATTTTATTATTTTTTAACGGAATGAAAGCTATACGGTCCATCATTGGACATTAATCGATTAATTTCATTGGAGTAATCAATCGATTAAGATTATTAAAATACCTAAGGATGTATTTCATTGATACGTACACCGCAAATCCTCTGTTTTTATTTTAAATTGTAATACATCATTTATTTAAAAAATAACTCGGCAGAAACGTATTTGCAACTCGAAATCAGTGTTATTAGACCGCGCATCGGGGGCCCCAGAAACTCCTCATTCCTCACTTTCGCACACTATGCCCAATTGCCTGTACGTGAGCTCGTAGAGTTTCGGAAGAGCCGAGAAGAACAGGCTGATACTCGCTTTCCTTCTCGCTCTTGCATCGCTGACGTCGCTTACATTTCTCGAAAGCAGGCCTGGCATCGCCACCCGTTCGAATCGTCAGTAAACGACAAAAGCCATCGTGACTGACAGACCTTACATTTTTCAAAACCAGACCTGGGCGCTTTTTGAAGATTCGTTGACTTTCCACACCAAGCGATGATGCGCTATATACATATGCATATTATACATGCTAGGAACTATAAAGTTGTGTAGCGTTCGCCGTATACCAACTTTCTAATAACATGGGAAAATTTTAAAATATTAAAAAATGTAAGAATACTGTAGAATTTTTGCAATGGAGAATTATTGAAGGAAAATGAATTGATTGATCTGTCCTTTTTAAAAACCCAGCAACTGATCTTTGACTTGCAACTCGTCTTCTTCATTTAGCAATTATAATAAACGTAGACTCATTAAAATTCGTAAAAATAACAAAGTTATAGCCATTTAGAGGGAAGAGTACCCAGCGGTTAATAATCATACCAGAAATTTTAAATGCATTTTTCTCGAAACCATATTTTCGAAACTGGCTGACATAATATCACAAATTTTCACAGTCGCAGCGTGTTTTCGGAAAACTTAGTTGCAATCGAACTACGTAAACTGTTCATAAAATTTAACAAATCAATCTACGTGCGTATGTGTATATTAGATATATCTAAGGTTTTTTTTGTATGAATTCCACCACGATTACATGTTACCCACACATAGTGATAAATGTGAAGTTACGTACACCGATACAGACAGTTTAATTAACCATATCGAGTGTGACAATATTTATGAACTTATGATACGTGATATTGCCCGCTATGACACAAGTGATTATCCCACAGATAATCGATATGGTATTCCGCTTGCTAATAAAAAGTTACGAGGTTTAATGAAAGACGAAAATTATGGTGCGATTATGACTGAATTTGTCGGACTGAGAGCAAAGATGTACGCCTTGCAAGTCGATGGCAAGAAAGATACGAAAAAGGTGAAGGTGTCAAGAGTAATGTTGTAGCGGGAACTATAACATTTGATGATTATGTGCAATGTTTGATGGGTGAGGTTAAAAAGATTTACCACCAATCGTATATAAGATCCACGTTGCATGAAGTGTACACGATAGCAGAAACAAAAATTGCTCTGAGTCCGCATTATGGCAAACGATATATTGTACCATATTCGACTGAGACGCTGCCATGGGTACATTATAAAATACCGCTTTAGACGTACCAGTATTCGTATTTTTTTTTACCCCCCAATTTGAATAGATATATATTTGTTCTAAATAAAAATTACAATCTGAGACACAGATCTCGGTAACATTGTCTCGCGATGATACCCTCGATCAGAAGATCTAAAAATGTGAAGTTTGCAAAACGGCGTGGGAGAAGCTGGGGACATACAATTGTACTAACGTCAGCAGGTATAAGCGAGTACCACTTCCATTCCTAAGAAGACCAAGTCCTCCCCACCTCAGTAATTCACTATATAAACTGTTATACGACCAACCCATGCCATTTATAGTAAAAAAGTGAATAATGGTTGCCGATCATTGGGACCTTGGTATGTAAACAGGAATAATTATTTTCATCAAAATAGTTCGTACCATATTTCAACAACCTCAATTACAAACATAGTGACATAATATTCTAATATAAACATTCTCGTCCCACAGCAGGCATCGCCACTTTTGACGATCGCCATGTAAGCCATAGAACCACGCTTGCGGAGGAGGCATTGTCTCCCCATTTATTGAACATCGTTCGACAACGCGAGTGTCTCCGGGGAGGAAGCTGTTGGCGTGGGAGTGCCGAGGATAACAGAATCTGCACCCAATGCTTCATAAGGCTTCGCGTCATGAAGCAAGAGGGTATGCACCAGGGCCCCCGCTTCTACTCGTTGCGTGATACGTACGAACTCACAACATTTAGTTTTGCGATCAGTGCCTCCGCACCGTATCACCCTTCTCATTTTTTTACTAATTTTACATCGACATGATTGCGCACATTTTCCATAGTTTTACCAAACACCGGATTGGTCATTAACCTGTATAAATTTTTTCGAAGCTTACAAAAACGTTAAAAAGAATTTTGAGATATATTCTGAAACTTCATAATTTTATAAAATTGTTACGAAGGAGGGGAAAGAAATTAGATGTCTTTCTTAAATGATGTAAATTGCTTTAAAAAAAACGATACATTTATTTCCAGCATTTCAACCACCAGTTGTATAATTTAAATACATTTTGTAAAGCACAACTCCTTATGTTTAAATATCGCGTTAATTCGATGCATACAAGAATAGTAGAATATTATTCGTCACCCGGTATTGTTTTTCTGCGTATGTAACCGACTCGAGAATGTTCGGCTCTTTTGTCCGCTACGCGAAAACAAGACAGGATGTAAAAACTGTCACATACAGGTTTCTTCGAAACATCACGCGGTCGACGAAACTACGCGTGATTTCGAGCTAACGTTTTGTAGAGAGAGAAGGTACGACAATAATAAGTTGGACAAAGACGAATTCAAATTCGTCTACAGCGCCGCTAGTCGGAGATTCTCCCCTCCGAATTTGACT